ATCGTGCTGTTTAGATGTAATTTTACTACAGACTAATTTTTTGTGAATAATCGATCGTTTTTCTTTCCACACTCTTTTGGAATTCAGATATTTTTTCTTTTTTTAATATTTAAGATTAGACGTGTTTAAGTTTGGTTAAAAAAAGAGTATGCTCTAGTGAAGCTTATATACCATAAAATATGACAGTTGACAAGCTATAAGAGTATAAAAATCATGCTCTTTTATATTTTTTTTGCTACCAACTAAAAATGTATGTTTTAATTTACAAAAAAAAAAGATCATACAAGCGTAAAAGAAATTGTTTTGCCCCCAACTGAAATTCTTTTTACTGAGTTTAATTAAAATTAAAAGTATCAGAATGTGTTTATTTCCCTTCTATTCTAGCGTTCAAGTTTTAACCTACGTCAGAATGTTGAAAGTTATATCTTGTAAACCGAAATATCTCAGATTAAAAAATACTACAGTACAGTATGTAACATTTTGAAAATTTTTGGTTTAAGCTCTTTATTAGTATCAAGAGAAGAAGATAAAAGAACCATATCATCAATGCCGTTGTACAAGCGGACCAGATTCATAGTGCACAATCCAAAAAGTAACATACAATGAAAATCTACCTTTTACGAAAGAAATAAAAATTAAAATAATAAATGTGGAGAAAAGTCAAAATCAAAATGAGAAAACAGAAAAATCTTTTCAGTGATAAAAAGAGGGAATGTGTGTGTTAGGTTCGTAGATGTATAAACTATTAGTTTATTGCACTATTGTATCTGATGGGATCCTGCCGTTATAATGGAGCACTACTATATCGTTGCTTGCTCGATTTTTAGTGGAAATTGACCTTGCTTAGAATTACAAAATACATGAATAATTTAGGTGACAATTTCTATGTTCACATGTGTCATATCTTTCTAATGTAAACAAAATGACCTTAATGTCCTATATTACACATAAAAAGGTGAATGCCTTACAACTAGGCTGAAAAAAAGATGAGAAAAAACATTCATAGAACCCAGTGAGTCATTTATAATTAAAACAAAATGTTCTTCTCATACTGAAGAAAAAAAGAACATCATAATAGGATAAAATTTTACACCGCTATCATATTGTACTTTGTCCTATGTTAATGTCAGTGTTACAATGTCTTGTAATTCTAAACTTGTTAATCGAGACAGAAGTTGTACACTATTCTAGAAGCAGATTTTGAATGTGGCTTGATCTAATATTCTGTGTCGCATGTGTGATATCATTTATTCAAGTTTGAGTATATTTAAATTCACATTAGAGCACAAAAAAAAATATTCAACACATACTTTTTTCAATCTTGAATTCAATAATATTTTTGCCTTTATGTGCTGAGTGTTATTAAAAGATATAGATACAAAATAACTATGATTCCTATGATAAAAATAACGTTTTTCCGTTTTAAGTCATAGAATTTTATTTAAAATGAGTCCTGTCACTCGTTTTTTTCACCGATTTGTGTTGACAGTTTCAATTTCAAACTGTCATCAAACTTTGTATTTAATACAAATGGTAAAATTATTTCGGTCATCCGACTTGTATTTGCAAAATTTTTCAAGTTTTTTCTCGATTTTTTGCCCTATTTTTAAACTTTCAATAAAATTTTGAAATTTCTTAGTTACTTTTAATCGCGATTTTAATGTCAATTGATATAGGACATCAAGATGTATCAAAAAAAAAACGTTCAGTCAAGTTTGACTGAGTTATTTCGCTTTGACCTGCTCTATGGAATTTTTGAGCAGAAAATATTTTTGAAAACACCTTGAACCAAATTTCGCTCGAAAGAAGAATTTTCAAGGAAAAGTACGGGTACAAAAGCTATTTACAACTAGATTCTCCTGAATATAAATGAAGAATTTTTCAAAATTCATTAACTGGCCAGTTTAACGAATTAACTTTGTTCATATTCCAAAGTATCTAACTTTTGTATCTTCACTTTTTCTTGAAAATTCTTTCTTTGAGCGACGTTTGGTTCAAGGTATTTTCAAAAATCTATTTGTAGCCGAAAATAAACAAAATTTTAAAGTATCGAGTTTGACTCTCGCACGTTTCCAGTTTGTAGAGGACACTTCGAAGGATATGTCCTGAAGTTTTTTCTGCTTAAAGACATTATTTGACTTAGAAAAAAAAAAAATGTTGTCACATTTTTGACTCACCAGACTTACTGAGCAGCCAGATCTGACTTCTAAAACGTTTAAGGTAGTCCATCTTGTTGCCTGTGAAATTCTCTATCAGATGAGGTATTGCTTGAATTTTTTCGTTCAGTTATTATTTTACAAATAAGACTTTCAACGGGCAGAGTAGGATAAATCAACGTTAATTAGCGTAAAAAGGAAAGAAAAAAAATATATAGATCTTTTTTTATGTACTTAATGTACCCATACATTTCTTTTTCTTTAATCTACGCAAAATCCAAGCTTTTACTATGAATGAAGAACGAGTAAGAACTTCTTTTAGAAATAACATTAGACAGGAAAATTTAACAAAATTTTCTGAATAATTAATTTTTTTCTCAGTCAAATAATATCAGTGAACCGTGAAAATTTTGAGATATATACTTCGAGGTATCCTTTGAAACAAAGTATTTTTTGAAACCAAACTTTTTTTTTCCAAATATGTCGAGTAATCAATCTTTTTACTTCTTCAATGCATGAATTGTTCTGGTTAATTTCTTAACGAAGAACAAAAACTATTTATATCAAATGCGACAGAAAAAATGAGCTTCTCAATATTTTCTATTTTTCTATTTTTTAGAAATGATCATTTTTCTGTTGGTTATCACGCATTTTTTCATTAATTTTTTAAATTCTGTGCATGGTGGTTCTTTCAGAGAAAAGTCCCATAACTCTATCAAAACAAAAGATTTTTCTATCACGTTTGTTTTTTTTTTTATCAGAAATGATTGCTTTTTTCAGCCTAACTACAAAACCAAAACTTCGGTCATGTTTTCCGTTTCTTATTTGTGCACATTGTTAGAAGAGGGGGGAGGGAGAGGAAGGTTGTCAGTTGTTGACGTATTTTTGAAACGTCGTTCTCGAGCACACTATCTGCTCTAAAAAACGTATTTTACAAACCAAAACAAAGAGCACATTCGAAGTAGGAAAAAGACTGAGTTCTCTCACTTTTGCTACACTTTTTTACGGAAAATAATAGCAGAAAAGAGAAGTTCAAGTCGAAAAACATACCAAATTCATTGGCATCGTCTTTCGTCTAATTTGCGTAGTTTTCTTGATTGAAGTTCTGAAATTAAAATTTAGATATGATTCTGTAGAGTATTTTACGGCGCAACTTTTTAAAAATAACATTAACCTTTGGGTCCTAAAGGAACACGAGAAAAATAGAAAATACTGAGAGGCTCATTTTCTCTGCTGCACCCGATACTTGTCTTTAGATTTATCGAAGGCATATATGATTATCAACAGACAAATCATCTTCATAGGTCGACAGCTTAAGATAGATGTGCAGAGAACAACTTGATGAGTAATATCTCTCATAAAAAAATCTTTCTTCTTGATAATTATTACGGGTGGCACTACTGTAACGAGTAACAAAAATCCGTTACTCGTGTTCTGGAAAAGTAATGGATAAAGTATATTTTTTGAACACAAGCTAAGTGTCTAATTGATTGAATAGTTGTGAATAGTGTATAATTCATATATGAATCATTGAACCGTTTGGCCACATTTTCGTTTTGATGATAATGATTCTGATTGATTTTGATTTTGTGATGAGAATAGTGTTTTTCAATCTATATTATCTCTTTTGAAAACGCAAAATTCAGATTTTTTTCTCACTATTGATTACTAATCAAATTTATTTTCTCTTTTGGAATTACAAAAATTTTCACATTTTTCGTTCTATGATCTCTTTTAGGAATAAAACTTATTATCTTTTTTGGGCCCTAGCCTATTGAACACTACGCTTTCTCTTTATTACAAGCACATAAAATTTAGAAAATGATTTACCGATAAAAACCTGAAAAATTAATAAAAATGTTTCCTTCTGCCTTTTAGGTTCACATTCTCTTTAATATATTGTGTATGAATTAACAGATAACAGGTCTTTTTAACGATTTCCTTTGTTGCACATTTGCTCAGCACGCGATTCTGAAGAGGTAGTTGTTTTTGTTAAATATTGGCAATAATAACGTTACCTCGAAAAGTTCTTACTGACTCTAATTTCAAAACTGTTAGTTCAATTATATCCGCATTCCCGATCAATTACAACAGTGCATATTGACGAACATTTCCTTGAGGTTATTCCGTTACCCACTAATTAGTAGTAAAGCATAGATCAGTTATGCAATATCCCAGCAGCATTTAAAAGGACTAAATTATGAAGGACTAAATTTTTTTACAACTGCTTTGTAGCCTAGCCTTGAGAAGTTGAATCGGCACTTATTACCCGCGCAGTCCTCGAGACTGTTTTTTTGTAGCTTCTGTATTGGTTAAGTTGAGCATATTTATCGAGTTGCGTTCGATAACAAGGAAGTTGTAAAAAACGTTGAGTTTAGAAATTAAGATGAAAAAGAAGGATTTAGAAACTGCCTTCTGTCTCACACTCCGAGACTCTTTTTCTAAATCCTTACCATTTGTACTGAACTGACGAGTACGAGAGAAAGAATGTCGGTTGTGAGCTACCAAAAAGTAATGACATCTTCACCAGGAGAAGGGAACGTTCAATACAATATCATCATTAACAATCTTATCGCTGAAAATAATTTATCATAATGTTTGCACATAATCAACATTTTTTTATCATAAAAAAAAAGAGACAGAAAGAATTAGTGCAGGACACAGTTTGTCTGTATGAAATGACGGCGTCTTTTCTCTTTTATAAAAATAATATATAAACAGTTGTGAAATACAACAAAAAAAAATAACAAAAATACATTGTTTGTGGCAACAGGTGTAGAGAAATTAATTGTGTATGTCATCTGTCGCTGTGGAATGCTGAGTGACAAGTGAAAAAATTTCATACTATAGTGATATCCGTTTCGATGAAGACAAATAACCTTCACTAATGTGATTATTATTTGTCATTATATTTCTACTGTTCTCAGTTCGCTGTATATATAATGTATTATTTTCTAATATATTTCCTATATAGAGTAAATGTTTGATGTTAGCCGGTGAACGACGTATTTTATAACGTTTTCTACTAGTTCTAAAACGTAACAGAGATGATTGATAACAACAGGATATTAATTGTCGATCACGAGAGTTTTCTAACGATATTAAAGATGTAGAGGGTTGTACATGAACACGATTAGTGTTATTATTTGTCAATTGTTGATGATTATTAACTAATAGTTTTTGATTTGTATGTGCTAACAGCGAAATATTATCATAATGTTGAAGATCAATTGATGCTTGTCTAGCCACCACCTCTTCTAGTTGAGCTTTTGCTTCTTCGGTATTAAATGCTACTAAACGTAGAACAAGTAAATTAATTGATGATGCCATTATTGTTAAACCGACTAAAATAAAACCAATTGTAAATATAACATAACCAAATTTGGAATATAATGACTGATTCGTCTTCTGTAAACTTGCTAATGGAACAAAATCACCAAAACCTACAACAAACACACAATCATCAATTGTGAAACGATTTGTCTTTGTGAACTAACCTATGGTTGATAAAGTAATAAATGAATAATAAATTGATTCGAAATACGTCCATTTTTCTTTACTAGAAAATACTAATGAACAGCCGAGTACAACACAAGTACTCAATGCAAATTCGACAGTAATTAATTCAATATCTGATACGTCTCCTCGACGTCGAAATCGTCGTTTTACGTGAGATAATAGAAACGTAATTAATGCATTTAAACGTTCGCCAGCTGATTGAAACATAATTAACCATAGGGGTCTAAATAGCAAACGTTCTTGCTTCCAGATTATAATTAAAAATTAGTTAAAGAAACAACTAATTCACCTACATTCCTGCCATGGCGTAGATCATACAAAATACTTTTCCGCCCACTATCAAAGTAAGAGCAAAAAAAGAGCTGAATTTCAAACAAGAAAAAAGCAATTAATTATTTTTTACCTGTTTTTGGAGTCGTATGTCCATAACATAAAAATAGAAAAAACAAACGATAGGCATTAATGTCTTGTGTCATGAGAGACAGAATAGATCATTTTTCAGTGGGAAAGATCTTCTGAACTTAAATTATCTTAATGTAACATCATGAGTGTTAGTATACATGTTTTCTTTATAAAAATGAGATATGGATATTCACAGTCAAAAATAGTTTTCAA